AAGGTTACAGTCAAAGCAATAATGTGCGAGCAAGCCATAGGCTAGAATTTGTTTGTGTGAAACACAGTAATTGCAGCTAATAGCTAAATCAATTAAAACAGAGGTCTCCTGTAAGTAATTCATGTACAGAAAAAGGTGCGAGTCTATTAAATAAAACTCTGACTGTGAATAGTTTGCCCAGCTTTAGAGAAGGATTTTCTAAAGCAATACAATAGCAAAATGACCAACAGCTGTTTGGGCTGTATGTGCAAAAGCCTCTCATCACAAAGCAAGTGGGTTGCAATTACACTTAATATATTGGACTAAATCTCTTGTTAATGTAAATATTTTGATGAAGTTCCATCAAAGCCATATTTTCTCTGATGCAGCTCATCAATTTACATCAGCAGAAAATTTGGCTGATTATGCTAAATTTGAGGTTTATTCAATGAACAGCAGTAGCAATGAGGTACTGGGTTTGATGTATAAAGACAAATAAAAATAAAAAAAAAACAGCTCACCCCACCCTAATCCAGAGGCACATGGCCCCCCATGCCCTTATGCTGATCATGCAGCCGGGGTAAAGTGGGTGTGGAACGGAGCCATGGCTCATCCAGTGGGTGCAGAGATGGGGAGCAGCTCCCGCCACTGCGCACCTCTTGTTTGGAGGCAGTGCAGCAGCTCCATCCTGCACCTGCCCTGCCCCAGCGGGGTGAGTGGAAGGAGGGCATAGCCCCTACTCTCAGCACTGTTGCCACCTGGCTGGAGTGCAGCCTGGTGCAGCCCCGGCCCTGCTTGCCCCACCCTGTCCTGCCCCATGCAGATCATGGGGCACACACCTCCCCACAATGCCCTCCTGGACGAGTGGTGGGAGTAGTAGCAGGAGCTGCTGGACGAGCCGCCAGATAAGCAAGTCCTGGACCAGCAGCGCATAGTGGTGTGAGCTGCGCCCCCCTCCCTATGCCCCCCAGACAAGCCATGGCTCCATCCCACACCTACCCCATGCCAGCTGGGCAGCGCTTGCCCCAGCCCCTGCCCATCCCAAGCCTCACTCCCTCCCTCACTGTGGGGCATTGATCTGCCCCCCCATGCTTCTTCCCTCCCTGCTCCCCTTCCGCCACAACAGACTTACCAGCTGGACGCAGCACTACCAAGCATCAGGAACCAATCCCCCATTTATAACATTGTTCTTATGGGAAAACTGGTTCTGAGTTACAATGTTTCAACTTAAGATGCGATTTTCAGGAACCAACTGTGTCATAACTCTGAGAACTGCCTGTACTTATCAACTTTTGAACACAGTACTAAAATTTTTAGGTCAGGTCAGGATTGAAAACCTGCTACCGCTATGTCCATAAGCAGTACAACCTGTAATGGTCAATGCTGAGTGCTGGGCAGTGGTTAATTAACTTGGCAACGTCAGGAAGGCTTTGGGTAGATGAGCGCCTGAGGGTGATGGAACCCTTGATGGAGGAAATGCCATCAAAAGGTGGATGAGCATATTCACTCAGTGATTTTGCCAGTGGTATCTAAACAGGGCAGATCGGGCTCTTTGGCCATGGTTGGCAACCAATCTTGGAGTAGAGTCCCAAAAGGCAGGCAGATGGAAGGCCTCCTCTGCACTGGCAACTCCTGCAGCATAGCTGGTTCCAAACGTTTTGACTTCCATCCTTCCTTTGGACCAAACCAGTGAAGCCCAGAGGGAGACATCTCCATATCAACTGTGATGTCTCTGTATCAAACCAGTGTCTTCATATCAACTGCCCAGGCTATTTCAGTCACACCACATGGGCCGAATCTCTGAATCCAAATTGAATCAGGAGACAAATAAAAAGGTCTGAATCTATTTGAAGCCTCCAAATCAATTCAGAAAAGATTCAGAGGCAGATTCGTAGATTCAGGCAGTCCCTGCTTGCTGCTGCAGGGAGCTGGACCTGGGCTCCGTGCCGGTAAGTAGGGGGCAGCAGGGGTAATTGGAAGAGGGGGAGGGGACCTTGGGGGGACCCCAGCCAGGCCCCAGCATTCTGGCTCTTTAAATAAAAAAAGTTCTGCACTCACTGGCTGCTGCAGCAGTCGCTGGAGCCTCATGGCAGAACACCCCCATGCAGCGCAGGGCAGATGGAATTGATCCCCCTCCCTCCCCACACTACCTGGCAAGAGCCAGTGAATGCAGGGCTTTTTTTTTTCTTTCTTTCTGTTTTTTTTTTTAAAGGCAGAACAAGTTTTGCCATCTGGCTAAAGAATGGAAATTTATCATTAATGCATATCATTGGATTTTGCACATAAATTCTCTCACTGACGCATCTAGGAAGCATCTAAGAATAACAATTTGCAAAGGAGGTCTAAATTATAGATCTAGCAGGAAACTCTGATGAATCATAGTAAATTCTTTCACTAAAAATCTGTTTGCTCCCAAGGAAGAAAACACTCTCTAGAACAAACACTGGCAGAGCAGTGCAAAACTAAAGTACAGTACTCCAGACATACTTCTATTTACTTCACATAAAAGTTCTGTCACTCAGCAAGGTACAACAGCCTTAACAAGAAAGAATGAACTAACAGGCAGAAGTAAAACTGCACACAACAGTCAAGGAGATGATACCCTGGCTTGAGTCAGAGAGCATACTCCGGCTGTGGTGGTAAGTACACTGATGTAGTAATGAACTTACTCTTTCTGCAAAGTGCCATCTAGTACAGAGGAATTGCTGAAAATTCACTTTTTGTTGTGGTACAACCATGAGAAATGTATGCAGTCACTGCACCGACAAGCACTTAGTTAAACATATCTGCTTTGTTGTAGGCCCCACTTCTCAAGTTTTTTGGATGCAAGCCACAGGTAGGCATTTATTAGTCCCTTAATTCAATCTCATCTGTCATACTGTGCTTTTCATCTTCAGATTTTGATCATCTAGCCATTTTTTCTAATTATTGTTACCTGAAACTTCCAGGAAAATCCTTGATATGGTGACAAACTAATTCATACATCATTACCCCCTTATCTACCTAATGTTAAAGGTTTCCCCGTGAGGTCAATGCAACTACAAATACATGCATTTTCTTATTAGCTCATATATTCAGTTTTCTATTCCCATGTATTCTATTTAATAAATTGCCAAACTTTGTGGTTTTCTGACCTAAGAACTTCAGCTATGCATGAGTTATTTTCACATGTGCAGATATAAATTTATGTTATTATGACACTAATTTATTCTACCAGAGTTCTTGCTGTTTTTTTCTCTGGCCCAAGGAGATTCATGTGGATGTCCATGGTTATGTTTTGCACTCCACACCAGTCCCTAATCATTCCATTATTTTCCCATCTTGGCTGCTGATACATCCCAAAATCAAGTTTAAAAAGTCTTATTTGGCAAAAATCTAATATGTCTATCTAATGTGAATTTTAGTTCTCTCTCTCATACTGGATAGTTGCAGTGCAACAGTGATAGATCACTGCATTCCCCCGCATTCCCACATGCATGTTTTAAATATCATGCATAAATAGTCATTCCAGTCCTCACAGATGGAAAATCATTTGCTGATGTATTTCAATATAAAACAAGAAAATTTAGGATTTTACCTTACATCTATCTTTATTAATAATTGTAGCAGAGACAATTATCTCTCACATATTATAAACGTTGCAAATTTTCATGTATTTTTTCATTTTCCAAACCAGCCCAAGTACCTTTTGTCAGTACTGGGGACACAATAAATTGCAGGGACATTTATGGAGTTCCTCTCTGACTAAGTTAGGAGTGAGATACTCCCAATGCTCCCTTGAGATCACTGCTGTCCCCCTGATCTGCTAAATCCAAGCTGATCACTCTTCTCAGTTTCCGTGAACAAAGCTGATGTACTTTGCCAGTGAAGTTCTCTTGAAATAAGAGGAGCTAAGAGCTGCTGCCCCATTCCTCGGTTAAGCACGAGCACTTCTGGCACACAAGTAATACATTTCTTCTTAAAACAATGATAATGCATTACAGAACTAATGCTAATGAGACTTCTTCTTGAGTAATAAACTTCAGGGTTTGAGCCATACTTTTTCTAGGTAAATGAAGGCCTGTATTTTATTTAAGACCCTCCAAGCTCTATCTTGGACATACAGGTGTTCTTTTTAGTGAATCTCTGTCTTGAACAATCTCTGGGTTGTTTTTTTTTCATTTTGTGCATTTTTCATTTTAACCATTTTGTATTTGCACATTTTTGTACCTTCTTTTATTTAAACTGATCTTCTCTTCACAAGCTCAGCAATCTTCCTAATATTTCAGTCAACCTTTCAAATCTATATAATGTAAAATACGTTTTAAAGAAATGTTGTTAATTTAAATGATGTATGGATCTCTGGTGTTTATAGCAATGGAGTTCTAAAAATGAATGCTTTAGATTGTGTGTTCAGGTTGGGAACTGCATCATGCAAGTCAAACATACCTTTTATAAACACAGCCTTATGTCCGGCAATTCTCCTTGCATGCCAGAATTCACTGCCAAGCAAATGCCATATCACCCTTCATACAGATACCATTTGGAATTACAGTGGTCCAACAAAATTAAAGTGGGCTAAGGAAACATCTTTTTCAGTATAATGCATCTATCTGCTGCACTGGATAGCTTGCTAGAAAGTCACTATTCATAACAACCCTGTACAAATACGGGCTAGGTATAGACATGCCTGAGGCAAAAACAATAGAAGTTATGCAGTTTTCTGTAAGCGGTGTAGTTTATATTGGTAGCGAACAGAACACATGTTTGCCCTTTGATGAAGCAGGAGGGGACAAATCTTACATTGCACTCCACCATTTTTAAACTAGTCTACATGCACTGAACATTTGTTCTCTTACGGGTATAGACTGGTTTTGTGTGCCAAACTTCTGTTAGGGGTATTAACTAGTTTCTTATCACTTATACTAGTAAAACTGTAATGTCTGTACCTGGCCATAGTATCACAAATTAAGAGTGGATAAATTGTGCTAGCTTTGTGTGTTGTGATATTAACAGCATAAAGGAAAAGGTAATTTACTTACCAAGCCAACTTCTGTTTAAATACACTGACACAAACACTGGAGGAACTGTGAAGAAATCTACCACTGAGTTAACTTCCAGCCAAAACCACAGCTTGTCATTGGCTGCTATGAACTGTAAAAGGAAGGGGAAAGAATCAAACTATAAGCATGTTGCTATAGTGGGGTGGCATTCTTCTCTCCAAAATCCAAACACTAGTATTTCTCTGGGAGATACAGTGTATGTTTTGGATTACACAGCAAGATCATTTACATTAACAAATAGGAAAGTCATATATCAAGGAGAGAAACTGAGAGCATTTATCTACTGACTTCTCAAAACAGTGGTAAGGAGATTCCGATTCAACAGTGTTCTTTCCACATTTATTAAACAATATATAAATCAGCCTTTAAAAATAATTTATGAGAAATCAAAAAAGAAAATCAGTAGTCAGCATTATTTCCCCACTTCGGTCTGTAGAATTCTGAGGGAGGGGTTTGGTTGCAATCACCTCCAAATATTGCACATACAAATACTAGAAAAAATGTGAATGATCTCAGCAGGATTATAAATACAATATGTGATCAATTTTTAGCACTAGTGTTCCCTTGAGGGGAAGAGGCTCCTCAACAGTGCTGGATTTCAATGAAAACAGTAACCTAGAAATACAAATACTTGTGAATTAAAGACATTCAGTTAGAGAAACCTGAGGTAATTCATCCCAGTAAGGACTTGAAATTTGGGGTATCATAATGAAAAGCAATACCTTTAATACTTTAAATATACTTAATACCATCTCTGATTCTACAAGCTTTACAAGTCTCTATCTTGAAGTGACCAAACCTGTCCAACATCACTTCACATAAAATATGGTACATGCCATTTATACTGTAACTATAAAAAGAAATTATTTGAGAGGGACCTGCAATGACATTAGCCTTGTTACAGTTATATTTAGAGCACAAAGTATTCTTTTTCACTACAGAACTGGCATTCAAATAACTGATACCTGCTTAATAGGGCTGTGCG